CGTCATCAAGTTTTTGGAGGGGATAAGCAAATATATTTTGACTAAACATTTATTATGCTCTTTATGACCTTAAAACATCTGCAAGATTTCAGAGCATTCGGTTTTGTAGTTCCTGATTAAATCAATAAAATATATTTACGCATTCATTAATTTTTTTGAGTCACCCTGTATATGCAAATCCAAAAAATATTAATGGAGTGATAGATCACAAGTACAGACTCATCATATTTTGTACATTTTAGATATGATTTATTCCACAAACTTTTGAGCTGACGTCATCAAGTTTTTGGAGGGGGTAAGCAAATATTTTTTGACTAAAGATTTATGATGCTCTTCATAGCCTTAAAACATCTGCAACATTTCAAAGCATTCTGGTTAGCAGATTAAAAATTAAATTTCAAAATGTTGTTTTATAATTTTGATTTTTTTTCCAAAAATCTGGACGTTTCGGGTGAAAAGTCGATTCGGAGTTGTAAACTACATGTGTAGGACTATGTTATTTTATACAATTGAAAACCCATTTACTATGTACAATTTTGAAGTGACGTCATCGCATTAGTGGTGGGGATGATTAGACAAATTTTGGTTAGCGTTTTACCATCTACATGATATTCTTAATATAAGTACAAAATTTCACAACAATCGGTCGAGTACTTTCGGAGATTATCTGTCTAATAAAAATCCGTGACAACAGACGGACAGACGGACAGACGGACAGACGGACAGACGGACAGACGGACAGACGGACGGACAGACGGACAGACGGACAGACGGACAGACGGACAGACGGACAGACGGACAGACGGACAGACGGACAGACAGACGGAAATGGGAGACCTATTTCTTCGTCTTCTAGGGGTCATGAAAGATCGAGAAAACGTAAAAGTAGAGAGTCGGCCGACGGACTCGATTACAATACTTCCTTTGCTTACGCTCGGGAAGTAAAAATTGAAAAATTGACGAGTCGGAAGATTAAAAAATGGAAAAACCTAAAATGTAAAATAATTGAAGATTAAAATCTCGAAAAATTGTAAAATTGAAAAAGTGAAAAATCGAGAAATCAGAACATCGAAACTAAAAATCGGAGAATTTAAGAATCGAAGTGTTAAAAAATACCAAAACTGAAATATAGAAAAATTGATACCTAAATCAAAAAATCGAAAAATCCAAGAAATCAAAAAACCGAAAAATTGATGAATTGAAAAACTGAAAAATCGAGAAATCGCGACATCGAGCAATTGAAAATCCAGAAGTCGAGAAATCTAGAAATGAAAAAATCAAAAAATCGAATAATCTAAAAGTCAAATAGTAAAATAATCGAGAAGTCGAAAAATCGAAAAATTTAAGTCTCGAAATGTCGAAAACTTCCAAAACTGAAATATCGAAAAAATTAATAAAACGAAAAATCGAAAAACTGAAAAACGGAAGAAAAGTTGAAGAATCGAAAATTGATAGATTTGAGAAATCGAAAAGTCAAAAAACCGAAAATTTTAAGTCAAAAATAGGGAAGTTGGGCAATTGAAAATTCGAAACATCGAAATTTCGATAAATTCAGAAATCGAAAAATTGAAAAATCCAAAAAGTGAAAAATTTTAAAACCGAAAAAGTGGAAAATCGAAAAATTAAAAAACCGAAAAATCTAAAACCGAAAAGCCGAAACATCGAAAGACCGAGAAATCAAAAAATTGAAAAATACAAAATTTGAAAAATACAAAATTAAAATGTCGAAAAAATGAAGAAACGAAAATTGAAAAATAATTGGGACATCGAAAAATGGAAGATCGAGAAATCGAAATAACAAAATCAAAGAATATAAAAATTCAAAATTGAATTGGAAAATTGGAAAATTAAAAATTAGATAAAAAAATCGATAAATCGAAAAATCAAAAAATTGAAAAATCGAAAAATCCGGAAAATAAACATTCGAAAAATGAAAAATTGAGGAGTTAAAAGAATCGGAAAATTTTAAATCCGAAAAATTAAAAAACTTGAAAATTCAAAAATCGAAAAATTGAAGAACTGAAAAATCGAAAAATCTAAAATGTAAAATAATTGAAGATTAAAATCTCGAAAAATTGAAGAATTGAAAAATTGTAAAAATGAAAAAGTGAAAAATCGAGAAATCAGAACATCGTAACGAAAAATAGAAAAATTTAAGAATCGAAGTATTAAATAACACCAAAACTGGAATGTCGAAAAATTGATAAATCAAAAAATCGAAAAATCGAAGAAAAATTGAAAAATCGAAAAACTGAAGAATCGAAAAATTGAAAAATCAAAAATCTAAAAAAACGAAAAATCGAAAAATGGATGAATTGAAACACTGAAAAATTGAGAAATCGCGACATCGAACAAAAAAAGTCGAGATATCTAGAAATGGAAAAATAAAAAAATCAGATAATCTAAAACTCAAACAGTCAAATAATTGAGAAATCGAAAAATCGAAAAATTTAAGTATGGAAATGTTGAAAACCCAAAACTGAAATATAGAAAAAATGGTAATTCGATAAAACGAAAAATCCAAGAAAGATCGAGAAATCGAAAAGTCGAAAAATTGAAAATTTTAAAAATCAGAATTGAAAATCCAAAAACTTGAAAAATCAAAGAAATTGAAAAATTGAAAAATTGAAAAATACATGAAAAAACTGAAAATCGAGACGTCAGAGCAATAAAAACAATCGACCAATCGAAAAATCGAAAATTAAAAAAAAAGCAAAAATTGAAAAATTGGAGAATAAAAAAATTGAAACATCGTAAAAGAGAAACAATCGAAAATTGAGAAATCGAAAAATAATAATTCAAGAAATCGATAATTAAAAAAAACCCGAATTTACATCGAAAAATTGAAAAATTAGGAATCAATAAAAACAAAACTTTAAATATCGAAAAATCGAAAAACCGAAAAATTTAAAAATTTAAAAATCGAAAAACTGAAGAATCGAAAAATGGGAAAAATAAAAATCTAAAAAAAACGAAAAATTAAAAAATTGAAAAATCGAAAAATTGACGAATTGAAAAATTGAAAAATCAAGAAATCGCGTCATCGGGCGAGCAATCGAAACATCGAAAAGTCGAGAAATCTAGAAATGGAAAAATCAAAAAATCGAATAATTTAAAAGTCGAATGATCAAATAATAATCGAAAAATCGCAAAAATTTATTAATCGAAATGTTAAAAATTCCAAAACTAAAATATTGCTAAATTGGTAAATCAATAAAACGAAAAATCGAACAACTGAAAGATCAATCGATCGAAAGGTCGAAAATTTAAAAATTTTTAAAAATGAAAAATTGAAAATCCAAAAACCTGAAAAATCAAAAAAAAAATTGAAAAACAGAAAAATTGTAAAATTAAAAAACTGAAAAATCGAGACATCAGAGCAATCAAAAACTCGACTAATCGAGAACTCGAAAAATTAAAAAAAAACAAATATTGAAAAATTGGAGAATCAAAAAATTGAAAAATCGTAAAAGGGAAATATTGGAAAATTGAGAAATCGAAAAATTAAAATTCGAGAAATCGAGAATTTAAACTAAATCCCGAACTTACATCGAAAATTTAAAAAATCTAGAAATCAGAACCTCGAAACGAAAAATCGAAAAATTTAAGAACCGAAGCGTTAAAAATTCCAAAACTGAAATATCGTCAAAAAATCGAAAAATCGAAGAAAAATTGAAAAATCGAAAAACTGAAGAATCGAAAAAGTGAAAAATCGAGAAATCGAGACATTGAGCAATCGAAACAACGGAGAGTCGAGAAATCGAGACATGGAAAAATCGAAGAATCTAAAAATCGAAAAATATAAGAATCGAAATGTTGAAAAATCCAAAATCTGAAATATTGGAAAATTGGTAAATCGAGAAATCGAAAAGTCGATAAACTGAAAATTCGAACACCTGAAAAGTAAAAAAATAGAAAAATCGAAAATTTGTAAATTATAAAAATAAAAAATCGAAACGTCAGAGCAATCGAAAAATCGAGTAATCGGGAAATAAAAAATTTAGAAAAACCAGAAATTGAAAAATTGGAGAATTAAAAAATTGAAAGACCGAAAAAGGGAAATAATAATAATAATAATAAACAATAATTTATTTGTTTGTTTTTCTTCTTTTTAATAGTTGCGTATTTATAATTGTATGTATATTAATCTATGTAAAGGTACATTAACCGTTAATAAATATTTAAACAATTTATTTAATTAAAAATAAATGAGAAACTGGAAGTTGAAAAGTCAAAAATCGAGAACTCAAAAAGTCGAAAAATTGATAAATTTAGAAACGTTAAAAATTGATAAATTGAAGAATCGTTAAACAGAAATATGGAAAAATTGAGATATGGAAAAATGAAAAATCGAAATTGAAGGATAGAAAAATTGAAAAACCCAAAAATTGAAGTAACGGAAAATGAAATAATCGAAAAATTCAAAATCAAGAAACTGAAAAATTGAAGAATCAAATAACTAAAAACTCCTAAAACTGAAATATCGAGAAATTGAGAAATCGGAAGTTAAAAAATCCAAAGAAACGAAAATTAGAAAAAATTACACAATTTTGATTTTTTTCCAAAAGTATTTGGATACCTGGGAAAAAAATTCAACACGGATTCATAAACCACAAGTAGAGGACTAGTAGTTTTTGACATTTAAATAATATTTAACCGATAAAATTGTATGAATTCCTACGAAAGGGAGTAGGAATGGATACATTTTTATTTACGATTTTGGTAGTACTATCTACATGGTATTGCTAAGACACATACAAAATTTCGGATATTATCGGTCTAATGAAAATCGACACAGTCAGCGGACAGACAGACAGACGTAAAATGGCAGGCCTATTTTTTCGTACTGTATGGGTCATCAAACGTCCGGAAAACATTAATTACAGTACTTCCTTAGTTTACGCTCGGTAAATAACAACTTAAAAAAACTCTACGTCTAAAAAAGAGGTAATAAAAAATTCTGGTCTTAAATATAGATATATTTAGAAAAAAGTCTCCATTTAAGCTTTCCGTACAAAAACAATCCCACTCTCCATGTTAGTCCCATCACTCATCTCCGCCATGTTATCATACCTCACCATCGTGTCCTCCCCCCTCTGCGCTACCTCCCGCGCCCTCGCCACCACGTCGTCATAGAACACATATATCAGAAAATGCACCACCCACGAGATAATTATGATCACCAACACGACAAACGCGATCAATCCTGCCATATACTTGTCGACAACAAAAGTACTTCCAATATGCACATCTCTTGGACCTTCGACCACCTCCGAAGACACCGTCACCAACACTATCATCAACAGCAGGCCGCAGATGGTACCAAGAGCAAACAGTACCGTCTCTATTATCAAATAAACGAGAAGGAACTTCGGGCTGTCCTGAAAAATCACGCCATGTATATTTTGACGATGAATGTTAGTTACACTCTCTGACCTTAATTATTCCGACTAAAAGAATAGCTCCAGCGAATAAGGAAACAATGCCACCTGCTATTTGGACGGAGTCGATTTTGTAGGCGCCCCAGATGAGGTTGACGATTCCATTGAGCTTGAAAAAATGAATTTTTAACTTGATTGGTCGAAAGTACGTCGTGGTGTGCCACAGGGATTAGTACTGAAAACCTTGTTATTTCTAATATTTGTTAATGATCTACAAAAATCTCATTATGTGTCAGAAACTACGACTTTTAGTATAAAATAATCTTTGATTAATTTAAACAACTACCTACTACTTACGATATTTAGCCCGGTCATGAAGTATGCTACCCGTTTCGCCGACAAGGAGCACTCGTCACTCATTTTCGTGTTTTGTTTTAATAATTGTTGTTTGTTATTTGAGGCACAGTATTCAGGTTCAGTGCTACGAACGTGTATAGTAAACAAGAATTGGCACGCAGCTTTTCGAGCATTCTAAAAATATTCCGCCATATTTTGTGTCTTCACGGCATGAACGCATGTCGAAGAAGTTTTAAATGCGTAAAGATTGCGGGTGTTTTGGTTCGGCGTCGAAATAACCAACGCGTCAAGATCAAAACTATTGCGACCCGAAATTGCAGCTGTATTCCTGATGATGATCTAATAAATTAGAAAACGGTCGACTTTATTTCCGCGGTCAAGGTACTTTTGCTATCATTTTTAGAGGAGTTTCTATCTCGAGAATTTGTAGTTTACGTTTTTGTTTTGCTTGTTCGGACGCGTCTTGAATTAGAAACAAATACAATGAGATCAAATATAATTATAGGTTATGAACCCGCCTTGATTTTTATGATGATTGATGATTTATTAGAAAAAAAAAATGTGTGCAATATTTTCCACTGGATCCTATCCTTATCGAATATTTTTTCTTACACTGTAAATGGCATTATCTATATTTTTTAGACATAAAATATGTATTTGTGTAGTATTTATTTCCTGAAACTTGTTAGACTGCGGAAATTCTTAAATTATAATTATAATTATTTCAAGGTAAAAAACGTTGTAAAATTAAAAAAATATATTATTTTTGCTTAATCAAAAATAAGTTTATGATGTTCTACGAGGATTTTCTGCCTGTCAGTTTTGTATTAATAAATCAAAATTTGCAAAAACACCAAAAGTTTTCAAAATATTGGGATGTCTGTTTAGTTGATTCACAAAAATATTTTTTAACTCAGGTAAAAATCAAGAAATAGAACATTAAAAAAAATCTATAATTCAAAAAACGTAAAATTGAACAAACGAAAAATTGTTAAACTCAAATGTTAAGGAATCGAACAATTTTAAATCGAAATCTGCAAATTGAAAAAACGAAAAATCGAAAAATTAAAAAAATTAAATAATCTCAAAATTGGAAAATTGTAAATTAGAATTATTGAAAAAATACAAAATTCAAAAATTAAAAAACGATAAATTGAAAAATTCTAAACTGATGACTAGAAAAATTGGCAAATCGAAAAACTGAAAAAACGGAAAAATGAGAAAGCAAAAATTCAAAAAATTGTAAAATCTAAAAGTTGGTAAACTCATTTCGAAAAATTTTAAATCGAAATCTGGGAATCTTGCAAATCGAAAAATTTCACATCGAGGAACGAAAACCGACAAAATCAAAAAATAAAATATCTGAGATTGTAGAATCGAAAGATTAATAATTAAGAAATTGGAAAAATTAAATATTAAAAAATGAGACATTGCAAAATTTCACAATTGAAAATCTAAAAATTTAAAAACCGAGAAATCGAAAAATCTAAAAATTGAAAAATAAAAAAGATCTATAATTCACAAATCATAAAATTAAAACAGTGAAAAATTTTTAAATTTAAAAGACAAGAAATCGAAAAATTTTAAATCGAAATCTGTAAACATTGCGCAACTCATAAATTTCAAATCGATTGAAAAATAAAAAAAAATATAATTCAAAGACTGTAAAATTGTAAAATCGAATAATGGAATTAAAAAAAATGGAAAAATAAAAAATTAAAAATCGAGGAATTTAAAACTTTTAAATTGATAACTGGAAAATTCGAAAAAGTGTAACACTGCAACATTGAAAAACCGAAGAAACGGAAAACTGAAAAATCAAAAAATCGAAAGATTAGGTAATCAAAATTAAAAACCCAAGAAGAATACAAATATTGAAAAATCGGAAGATAAAAAATTCAGGTAAATTGTAAAATCTAAGAACTGAAAAACTCAAAAGTTAAGAAATGTAATTAATATAAACCAAAAATTGTAAAATCAAAACACAAAAATTTCAGTCGAAAATCCAAAAATTTAAAAATTGAAAATTCGAAAAATTGAAACACTGGAACATTGAAAAACCGAAGAAACGGAAAACTGAAAAATTAAAAAATTAAAAACTCAAGAAGAGTACAAAAATTGTAAAATCGCAAGAAAAATCCATAAATTGTAAAATTTAAAAACTGAAAAACTGAAAAGTAAAGATATCGAAAAATTTAAAATCGAAAACTGGGAATATTGCACATCGAAAAATTTCACAATAAGGAACGAAAGTCGACAAAAGCAAAAAATAAAATAAAAATCGAGAAAATGAAAAATCTAAAAGTTGAAAATTAAAAAAACTATATTAGAAATGGTAAAACTGAAACTTTGAAAAATTCAAAAGTTGGGAAATCGAAAAATTTAAAAACAAAAAATTGGAAAATAACAAACTGAGAAACGCAAAAACCAAAAAAAAAAATTAGAAAAACCAAATATCTAAAAATTTTAAAATCAAAAAACGGGGTAATTAAAAAATTAGAAAAATTAAAAATTAAAAATCTAGAAGTTGAAAAATTTTATACTGATAACTAAAACAAATTTGCAAAAAAAAAATTGAAAACACGAAAAACTGAAAAAATTTTAAATTTAAATGGTAAAAAATCGAAAAATTTTAAATCGAAATCTGTAAATGTTGTGCAACTCCATAAATTTCAAATCGAGAAAACGAAAAATTGAAAAATCAAAGAATTAAGAATTGTAAAATTGAAAAATGGAGCAGTACGGCTCAGATAGCCCCTAGCGCGGCGCAGCGATAACGCTCATGAAGCAACGCTGTCCGCAGTCACTTTGTGGATGGGTGGCCAAGATCGCCATACCTATCTGAGCGGCTCGGTGCGTCTCCCCCCTCGACACCCAATGGGTAAAAGAGGGTAACAGATTATATATATATATATATATATATATATAATTGAAAAATGGAATTAAAAAACTGGAAAAATAAAAATTTGAAAATCGAGGTATTTAAAAAATTTAAATTGATAAATTGTGCAATCAGAATTTAAAAAATCAACAATTATAAATTGGGATATGGTAAAATTGAAACACTGAAAAATTTCGCAGTCGAAAATCCAAAAAATTTAAAAATTAGAATTCGAAAAATTGTAACACTGGAACATCCAAAAATTGAAAAATTAAAAATCGAGAAATTGAAAATTCTAAAAATTGTAAAGTAAAAAACTATAATTCAAAAGCTCTAAAATTGAAAATTTGAAAAATCGATAAAGTTAAAATCAAAATCTGAAAACATTGTACATACATTGAAAACTATCAAATCGAGAAACGAAAAATCGAAATAATTAAAAAATAAAATATTTAAAAACTGTAACATTGAAAAATTGATTAATAAATTAGAAAAATTTACAAATCGCAAAACTGAAAATTCGAAATTGGAAAATTGGGCACTCAAAATTAAAGAATCAAAAATTGTAAAATCGAAACACTGCAAAATTTCAGAATTGAAAATAGAAAAAATTTAAAAATTGAGTAATCAAAAAAACTGAAAAACGCTGTAAGATTAAAACATCAAAAAAACTGAAAAAATAGAAATAGAGAAATCGGACGTTCTAAAAAATTACAATTCAAAAACCGTAAAATTGTAAAAAAAAGTGAAAATAAAAAATTAAAAATCGAGGAATTTAAAAATGGAGGAATTTAAAAATTTGAAATTGATAAATAGAAAGTTTTGCAAATCAAAAAATCGAGGAATTGTGCAATAGAAATTTAAAAAATCAAAAAATAATGAAATCGAAAAATTGTAAAATCGAAACCATGAAAAATCGCAACACTGAAAAATTTCCGAATTGAAAATAGAAAAAATTTAAAAATTGGGTCATCAAAAATACTGAAAAACAAACGCTGTAAGATTAAAACATCAAAAAACTGAAAAAATAGAAATAGAGAAATCGGACGTTCTAAAAAATTACAATTCAAAAACCGTAAAATTGTAAAAAAAGTGAAAATAGAAAATTAAAAATCGAGGAATTTAAAAATTTGAAATTGATAAATAGAAAGTTTTGCAAATCAAAAAATCGAGAAATTGTGCAATAGAAATTTAAAAAATCAAAAATAATGGAATCGAAAAATTGTAAAATCAAAACAATGAAAAATCGCAACACTGAAAAATTGGGTCATCAAAAATACTGAAAAACAAAAGCTGTAAGATTAAAACATCAAAAAACTGAAAAATTAGAAATAGAGAAATCGGACGATCTAAAAATTAAAAGGAAAAAATTACAATTCAAAAACCGTACAATTGTAAAAAAATAGTAAAAATAAAAATTAAAAATCGAAGAATTTAAAAATTTGCAATTGATTAATAGCAAATTTTGCAAATCAAAAAATCGAGGTATTGTGCAATCGAAATTTAAAAAATAAAAAATTATGAAATCGAAAAATTGTAAAATCGAAACAATGAAAAATCTTAGTCGAAAAATTCGAAAATTTGAAAATTCCGAAAAAAATAAACAAAACTATAATTCAAAAATTGTAAAATTGAAAAGTAGAAAAATTAAAAAAAAACAATTTTAAATCGGAATCTGTAAACATTGAGCAAATCGATAAATTTCAAATCGAAAAACGAAAAATGGAAGGATCAAAAAATAAAATACAGATTTCAAAATTGTAAAATTGAAAATTGGAATAATTAAATAGTTGGAAAAATAAAAAATTAAAAATCGAGAAACTGAAAAATTTTAAATTGATAACTAGAAAAATTTACAAATCGAGATTAAAAAATCAAAATTTATAAAATCGAAACTTTAAAAAATTTCACAGTTGAAAATAGAAAAATTTAAAAATAGGGGAATAAAAAAAAATGAAAAACAATAAACTGTAAGATATTAATAATTTAAAAATTTTAAAGAACAAAAAATTATAATTAAAAAACCGTAAAATTGTAAAATCGAATATTTAAAAAAGTTGGAAAAATAAAAAATTAAAAATCGAAGAATTGAAAAATTTTGATAACTCGAAAATTTTGCAAATCAAAAAATAAAAAAATCGCGAATTTGGGAAATCAAAATTTAAGAAATCAAAAACGATGAAATCACTGGAATATCCAAAAATTGAAAAATTAAAAATCGAGAAATTGAAAATTCTGAAAGTTGAAAAATAAAAAAACTATAAT